AAGAAAGAAAGAAAGAAAGAAAGAAAGAAAGAAAGAAAGAAAGAAAGGGAGGGAGGGAGGGAGGACAAAATGAAAGATATATGAATGAATGGATGGATAGATACATGGAAGAAGAGAGGGAGGGAGAGAGAGAAAAAGGAGAGGAAGAAAGGACACAAACCCTGGCTTCAGAAGACCCTTTGAAACAGCACAGCAATCTAGGGCTGGAAGGGATCTTGGAGGTAATCTTCTAGTCAAACTTGGCAAGTTTAAGACTTGTGGACTTCAACTCCCAGAATTCCTGAGCTAACATGACTGGAGGAGGAATTCTGGGAGTTGAAGTCCACAAGTCTTAAAGCTATCGAGTTAGAAGACCCCTGTTCTAGTCCAACCCCCTGCTCAGTCAGGAAAACTCTGAGGATGCCAAAATCTGAACAGAGGTCCTGGGAAAGGTGTCAGAATAACAGAATAACACTTAGAAGGGACCTTGGGGGGAACTCTATACTATTTCAGAGAAATGGCTGTCCAGTCTTTTGGTAAAACTTCCAGTGTTGGAGCACCCAGAACTTCTGGTGGCAAGCAATTCCCCTGGTTAATTGTTCTCACTGTCAGGAAGTTTCTTCTTACTTTTAGGTTGCTTCTCTCTCTGTTCAGTTTCCATCCTTCTGGTGCTTTAGAAAATACATTGTTTGCCTTCTGGTGCTTTGGAAAATACATTGCTCCCACCTTCTTTCTGGCAGCTCCCTAAAAGCCTGTTGCCTATCACTTTCTTGGGCAAAGCATGTGAGCCATTTCCTCCTTTCAGTGGTCCATGAAAGTACATCTATAGTACAAAGATGATAAAGTCAAAAAAAGGTGAACAACATTTTTACAGAACTATAGATGTGTTGAGGCTGGGTGTGACAAGGAATGGCTGGGAGGGGAGGGGCCAGGCAAGGCACCCTTGATGTGAGTGACATTGAGTTGGCCACACCCACCCAGTCACATGTCCACCAAGCCACACCCACCAAGTCATGTGACCCCAAGCCACACCCACGAAATAAGCCACGCCCACAGAACCAGTAGTAAAAAAATTTGAATCCCACCACTGTTGTGCTTATCTTTAAATTGGTTTTCAAAATGATTTACAAGTTAACATTTGAATAACATCATGGTTTACGTGACTATGTGGTCCAATATTATATAAAAAAGGCAATCTGGTAAGTCTGTAGGTGCCTTTAGTTAGTTAATGGGTTTCTGAGGCCTGTGGTGAACAGTATAAATATGCTACATTAGTAGAAAAAAAATATAATAGCCTTTAATTCCATCCCAACTCATATTAGCTCCCTTTAGTCCACTATTAAGTAAGATCTGTTTATCATCAGAAAAGCTGAGAAAAAGCAACTCCAGATTAATAATAAAGGCTAGACTGATCTTTCTACTTTTTCAGTAAGAAAGCTTATACACACATGCCCAAAATGTGCATCCAAATAAAAAAGTATAGTGGCACATTTTTCAGAGAAAGTAAAATAATAATAATAATAATAATAATAATAATAATAATAATAATAATAATAATAATAATAATAATAATAATAATAATGATGATGAAATCAAGTGAAAAGAATTGTGGTTTTCTTAGATAAGACTCTTTAGTTGAAAACTATTTCAAAATTATTCAGATGATAGGGGGTGAATATTTCCTATTTTATTTATTTGTTTGTTTAAGTAATATATTAGAAATGGGTATATTTTTGTTTAGTTTCCACTTTTTCCTAGACTTTAAAACTACTGCATCTTTTTTTTGCTTCTGTTGAAATATTTCTGTTTATAATTTATTTACATATAGTTCAATATAGAAACACGATAATACTTTTTAATACATTTTTGCATTCAAAAATGTAGGAAATTGCTTTCGTCATATTGCATTACATTGTTCATGTATATATTTTTGAAATATTATTTTGGTACCTTCATATTAAAATGTAAATATGTATTTCTAAAATCTTTATTGAGGCTACGATCTGAAATCTATGTACATTTTTTTCATCTAGGCAAATGGCATCTTGGTTTAAATTGTAACAGCAGTCGTGATTTCTGCCACCACCCCTTAAATCATGGATTTGATCATTTCTATGGAATTCCTGTGAATAATCTTAGAGACTGCAAACCTGGGGATGGAAGTGTTTTCATCAAAGGATTTAAAATGCATATTTCCTCAACCCTTCAGATCACTGGAATTTCTCTTATAACTTTGGAGGTTATGCATTATATTGGCTTTTTCAAAATTCCACGTAGAATGGTAGGCTACTTCTTTTTGTTGGTTGTTACATTGATGGCAATCATATTCCTCTTCTTTAACAACTTTCGGCAGCTAAATTGCTTCCTGATGAGAAATTACACTATTACCCAGCAACCATGGACTTATGAAAACCTAACTCAGAGATTTACAGAAGATGCCAAACATTTTATAAGAAGGTATGTATAGTTTAAGACATTGGAATATTACTCTGGGATACTAGTGGCATAGAGGATGAACTTGGCATTTGTTTGTGAAAAAAATGAAAATATATACATTTATAGAACTGGGGATTTATACATTTTGCTCTTGTTTTTGATAAATTATACTGGTGTTTTGGAGTTAGCACTATCTACCTTATCTAAGGCCCTGTTCAATATAGCTTCAGTTCTTGACTTCATATTATTCAGTTACATGAATAGTGAAAATTCAGTTTTATATCTTCCCTTTTTATGGGTGGAGAAAGAACATAGCATAGAAAGAACATGAGTAGAACAGTGTTCTGTATCTATATTGCATCCTATATTTATTCATGGTTAAATTGGTTACACTTTAATAAATTAACCCAGCTATATTAGTTTGTGTAAAAGAATCACATCTAAATATGTGACTCAGATCTCCTCTACATATTTTATTAGAAACTAGCCAACCAAATTTTAGTTTATTCTGTTATGCAAAAAATATTATTTCTTCTTAGTGAGGAACATTTGACTATACCTGAAAATAAGTTTTTGTTTTCTATTATCAATCCCAATTGTTAGATTTTTGTGTTTGGAAAACTAGTTATATTCTTTTAGTCTCATAGAAAGTAAAATACCTAACATTTTCTATTGCTATTTACCAAATTTAAGATTCAGGAAAGGAAATATTTGATAATAAGGTATTCAGCAATGTTTCTGTATAGGAAGCTAAACTTTACAATGATGATTATATGCAGCTTTAAAAAATAACCAAATTCTTTTTTAAAATGAGAAAAAAATTACCTTGCTCTTTTTCTTGCCACTTTGAGTATTTACATTTCAACTCATTTTAAAATTTGTCCAGAGCACTAACATACCTAATTATAAAGGGTCAATTGTACCTACTCTTTATTCTGTAACAACAAAAACTCCTTTCAGGAGTAAATAATATTATACAATTCCCATCACTGCCAATCCCATGAGCAACTTTCTCACAAGCCACTTGTCAGGCTTGTGATTGCTATAATCAGAATGAGTGATCGAGCCATTTTTCCTCTTCCTTGCACTCTTATTAATGTTCCATCCATGTGTTTACGATTTCATGCCCAGCTTGTTTCTTGCATTGGCACATTGACTTCATAGATTGTCTTGGGAATAAGTGTGTTGGCACTATTCTGAAGCAGAATTTTGTCTGAGGGATGCAATTTCTGTTCCAGGCATAAGACTGTGTAGTTCAAAGCTTTCTTTATCTGAAATTCAGAGTCCTCAACCATCTTTGCTTTGGGGACTTCAATTTTACTTTAGGATGCACTCTTGAAGCTTTCTGCTATAGATGAAGGATTCTGAAAACATGACATGCAGGGCTGCTTGTTCATAGCATTTTTTTTTAAATATCAGCAAACACTAAGGAATAGCAACTAGTAGCAGCATCTTCACACCTCTCCTTCTTTTAAAGGAAGTTGTTAATGCTGTTCAGAAAAAACAGAAAAGACAGCAGCAATCTTACAGCACGGTAGTCAGTGACCAAAATCCCTCCAAAGAAAAAAAGAAGGAAAAGGTAATTGGCATAGTACTATACATGTTTCTTACATCAGAAATGCACAGGCTATTTTTATTTTTGAGAAATTCCACAGGCACTCCCATATATTGCTACCAACTTATAATTTTAATAGGACAGAAGGGGAATAAGAATTATTAATGTAGTGTATTATCTTGCAATATTGCATATTTGGCTGTTTTATGTATCTCAGTCTTGTAAGCTTAATTTTAATTAAATGACACTTTCAGAATATTAGAATTGATTGATTTTCTATATCTTTATATTTATTTGAAGTGATGAAGACTTAAAGCAACTTACATTAAAGGACTCTGCTTTTGGGCCACAAGCATTAGAAGAAAGAACATTCCTTACTTTGAATTATGATCTGTTAGGGTTATTAGAGATTTTTCATTTCTCTTAAGTAAGATACTCATGAAATAGCTTAAAATGAGTTATATCCTTTGTATTTAAATACAAAGGAATGTTTTAGCGGGATAATATAATTGACCATCATCAAAGAGAAGGATGTGCATGTTTAATTGCATATGATATATATATATATATATATATATATGGCATTCAGCTTTGTTCGGGTATTTTCCCACTCATTGTAGTTGTGCTTTTAAAGTTGTAGCAACGTTTCGGCAGAATCTCATCTGCCATCATCAGGCTTCTGATTGTGTCCGTCTGTGAGTCAGGCCCCCACAGTTGTTTCAGTTTTAAATTTGGGGCAGCCTATTGCTGTGCCAGAATGGTTTTTTCTTCATCCTGATTGGTTGGGAATCTAGGTCTGTGTTTATTGGTCTTGGAGTTTGCTGTGTTCTGCTTGATTGGTGTTTCTAATATCTTCTGTCTGTTTAGTGGCTCTTTTTGAGTCTTGATTGGTTGGCAACATTGTGTTCCTTTATTGGAGGCCTTTTGTGCAGCTTGGCTCCGGGTAAATGGACGGCTATCATTTGTTAGGAAGCTAGGTTTCATCTGGGTGCCTGGTTGGGGTGTGTTTGAGCTGGAGGTATCAGTGGGGATCTGTTTGTGCCCAGGTGTTTGCCTGGCTAGTGGTGTGGAGATTTTTTTGTTTGTGAGTGCAGGCTTCCAAATGATTGACAGTCTGGTGGAATCATCTCTGATATTGCCCCAGGGTCTTTCATCTCCTGTAAATAGACATTTGTAAACAGAGGTGGTATTCAGCAGGTTCTGGTCAGTTCTGGAAAACCGTAGCAGAAATTTTGAGTAGTTTGGAGAACTGGGAATTACCACTGGCCCTACCCCCATCTAGTCTCTGCCTCCTGAGTCCTAGCTGATCGGATAGGGCTTCTTTTGTTGCCCTGCACAGGAGAATGGAGCTGGAAAGCAGGTTACTGGGGTGGGAAGGGAATAGGACTTTGCAGTAACCTTCCCTTGGAGTGGGGTGGGAATGGATATTTTGCAGTATCCTTCCGCTGCCATGCCCACCAAGCCACTCCCACAGAACCGGAAATAAAAAAATTTAAAATCCCATCAGTGTTTGTAAGTGATGACTTCTACCTATCTGTATTTATCATTGTAGCCCTATGTTCCCAGATAGATAGATAGATAGATAGATAGATAGATAGATAGATAGATAGATAGATAGACAGACAGACAATAGATAGATAAATAGTGAGAATAGTGAGATAGATATCATTCTTTTTAAGTAATAAAGTAATTTTGTAATTTTGTTCAGCTACATATGTTCAATTTTAGGCTGGAACCAAAATCTATCTTTGATTCATTACTATCTGGTACTTGAGCAGTGGTGGGATTAAAAAAGTTTTACTACCAGTTCTGTGGGTGTGGCTTGGTGGGCATGGCATGGCTTAGTGGGCGTGGCTTGGTGGGCATGGCAGGGAAAGGGTACTGTAAAAACTCCATTCCCTCCCCATCCCACTAACCTGCTTTCCAGCACCATTGTCCTGTGCAGGGCAACAGAAGAAGCTGGGACTTGGGAGGTAGAGAATAGATGGAAGCAGGGCCAGTCAGAGGTGGTATTTGCTGGTTGACCGAGCTACTCAAAATTTCTACTACCGGTTTTCCAGAACCTGTTGAATACTACTTCTGTACTTGATGAAGTAAGCATTTCCACGGCTTCCGGGAGAACTAGGATTTCCTGAAAGATATATGCAGGAAGCATAAATATACTTGTAACTACTATTTTAAAACACACAGTATTAACAGAATAACAGAGTTGGAAGGGACCTTTCAAGGTCTTCTACTCCAACCCCCTACTCAGGCAGGAAACCCTATGCCATTTCAGACAAATGGTTGCCCAATCTCTTCTTTAAAAACTTTCAGTGTTGGAGCATTTTCAACTTGTGAATGAGGCAAGTTGTCTCACTGAATAATTGTTCTGTCAGGAAATTTCTTTTTAGTTCTAGTTTGCGTTTCTCCTTGATTAGTTTCCATCCATTGCTTCTTGTCCTGCATTCAGGTGCTTTGGAGAATAGCTTGACTTCCTCTTCTTTGTGGCAACATGTGAGATATTGGAACACTGCTATCATGTCACTCCTAGACCTTCTTTTCCCTAGACTAGCCATACCCAATTCCAGCAACCATTCTATATATGTTTTAGACTCCAGGTCCTTATTCATCTTCTCTGTACTCTTTCTAGTCTCAACATCTTTTTTACATTGTGGTGACCAAAGCTGAATGTAGCATTCCAAGTGTGCTCTTACCAAGCCATTATAAAATTGTATTAACACTTCATGTGATCTTGATTCTATCCCTCTGTAAATGCAGCCTAGGACTACACTGGATTTTTTGGCAGTTGTAGCACACTAGCTCATATTTAAGTGATTGTCCATTAAGAATCCAAGTTCTCTCTCACAGTTACTATTATTGAGCCAGGTACTACCTATACTATACATGTGAGCTTGGTTTGTCTTCCCTAAATGTAGAACCTTACTTTTTTCACCACTGAATTTTATTTTGTTAGATAGTGCCCAATGGTCAAGTCTCCCAAGATTATTCCGTATCTTAAGCAGTGGTGGGATTCAAAAATTTTTCCTACTGGTTCTGTGGGCGTGGCTTGGTGTGCATGACCACGCACACCAAGCCATGCCCACAGAACCGGTAGGAAAATTTTGGCTTGGTATGCGTGGTCATGTGACTGGGTGGGTGTGGCTTTTTTTTTTTTTGCTTTTTTGCCGCCCCCACCCATTTTTGGGAGCTTCCTAGCCTCAGAGGAGCCTCTGGGAGGACATTTTTGCTCCCCTAAGGCTCCTCTGAGGCTCAGGAAGGAAAAAAACAGAGCATGGGAGGGGCGCTCAGCACCCCTCCAAGCTCCATTTTGGGAGCTTCCTAGCCTCAAAGGAGCCTCTGGGGGGCATTTTTGCTCCCCTAAGGCTCCTCTGGGGCTCTGGAAGGCAAAAAATGGAGGGGGGCTGAGCTCCTTCCTCCATTTTTTGCCTTCCTGGGCCTCAGCAAGGGGAATCCCAACACAGCTGGTCTATGCACAGCTGATTGTCGGGAGGAAAAAAAAGAAATACCTTAGGCGAATGTCAGGCGGCGAGTAAGTGAGCATCAGGCAGGAAGGCGACCAGATCAGGGGCATGGCCAGCCAGAAGTTACTACCGGTTCTGTGACCCACATCAAATTCTTGCTACCGGTTCACCCGATCTGGTGCGAACCAGCTGAATACCACCACTGATCTTAAGCCTATCTTCTAAAGTGTTGGCTATTACTGCTAGCTTGGTGTCATCTGCAAATTTGATAAGTACTGGACCTAAGACAGAGTCTTGGGGTACCCCACTGGTCTGTAGTTTCCTGGATCCATTTTTTTCCTTTTTGAAAATGGGAACTACACCAGCTCTTTCCCAGTCCTCTGGTAGGTCCCTAGTACTTCAGGATCTTTGAAACATATACTTCAGTGGTTCTGAAATCAGGTCTGCTAGTTCCTTCAGAATCTTGGGGTGTAATCCATCTCGTCCTGGTGATTTAAGCAGTTCTGCTTTCTCCCTGTTGCTTGTTACCTTCTTGCCATTTTCTCCCATTAATGGAACAATAGTTTCCTTGACTTTTTTTATTGTTTTTACATGTTGAAAGAAGCTTTTTGTTGTTGTTATTTCTGACTTTTGTCACAAGCCTTAGTTCATTTTGAGCCTTAGCTTTCTTGACTTCAACTTTGTAGGCTCATGCTATTTTCTGATATTCTGCCTTAGTTATGTGCTTTTCTTTCCACTTTTTATACTTGTCCTTCTTGCCTTTCAATTTATTAGAAAGTTCTTTGTCATCCATGGTGGTTTCTTTTGAGAGCTGTTATTTTTCTTCTTCATTTGGTATTGTGCTAGACTGGGCTTTCATAATCTCACTTTTCAAAATGTCTTAAACTTCTTGGATTGTTTTTCCTTTGAAAATTTTCATCCACAGAATCCTCCCCAAGGTCTCTCTAAGTTTATTTAAATTGACTCTTTTAAAATCCAATACTTTAATTTGACTTTGTTCTCAACATTATGCTTGCATAATGTTTCATGATCATTCCCACCCAAGTTTCCTATAGCTTTAATATCTTCTATCATTTCATCTATGTTAGTGAGAATTAAGTTCAATATGGCTAATCCCCTAGTTCTCTTCTCTACTTTTTATTATTCCTGTACTAGTTTATTAATCCATGTTATGCCATCTTATTATACTATTATATTGTATGGAGACTAACCTTCATTGTGAAAATAAAAGTGTCCTAATGTATCTTTTTCATATTAAATTTCACTTTAAAATGTTGGTTGATAGATTTTTGAACACAGCTTCTCTGTTTTATTGCTTTGAAATAAATGAAAATAACAAGCATTATAAGAACTGAGCCCAAATTTACTTCAATTGCCATCCTGATTTCTGTTTGGTAGGTTACCAAGTTTTTTTCAATCTGGTTATCTGGTAAAATTCCTGAATGTTAGATTAGCTAACATGTAAGATACTTCCAAAACATTTGAAGGAATTATTACTGAATAAATCATGTGATTAAGAAAGAATTTATATGAAAATAGTCATGTATTATGCATGCATAAATTATTCTGATTTATATTCTCTATTTCAGGAATATTGATAAACCATTTCTCCTATTCCTATCATACCCTCAAGTCCATACAGCTCTTTATGCATCACTAGCTTTTAGAGGAAAGAGCAAGCATGGCTTATATGGGGATGCTGTGGAAGAAGTGGACTGGAGTATAGGTATGTATGTTGTCTTATCATTCAAAAGTGGTACCTGCCTTGAAATAATGATACAAGTAAGTCCTCGACTTACGATCATATTGAGCCCAACATTTTTGTTGCTAAGTGAAAAATTTGTTACATATGTATTGCCCATTTTATAACTTTTCTTGCTGCTTTTGTTAAGTGAATCATTGCAATTGTTAAGTTAGTAACATGGTTGTTAAGTGAATTTTGCTTCCTCATTGACTTTGCTTGTCAGAAGGTTGCAAAAAGTGATCACATGACCCCGAGACACTGCAACCATCATAAATATGAGTCAGTTGCCAAGCATCTGAATTTTGATTAAATACCCATGGATATGTTGCAATGTTCATAAGAAAAACAGTCTTAGGTCCCTCTTTTTTAGTGTCATTGTAACATTGAACAGTCACTAAATGAACTATGAAAGTTGAGGAATACCTGTACTTTAGAAACTGAGCCTCATACAGAGTTTATTTTGACGTGTAAAGATAAAAGTTATTATCTCAAATCATTCTTTCAGGAATAAATCTGATGAGATGCAGTTTTTTTCGGAAAACTTAATTTTTGGTGCAATCTTAGGTAATTGGAAAATGATTGTTAAAGCAAGTGCATGCTTTTCTTACTCTGAACTGAATTATGTTCTTAATTGATATGAATTATTTTGTAAAGCTATTTTAAAAAGTAACAAGAATTTATATTGTGGTAATAGAAAGAACATTTGGACTAAAATATAAAATTAAATGTAGACATAAGGAAGAAATGTTCATCATTGTATGGCATGTGTTTAAATATTTACAGTATATCATGACTTTCTGTCAAAATGATATTTGATGAAATAATTTTTCATTCCTCTTCAGACAATGTGAGGAGCATTGTATCAACTGAGTATTAGGGCAATATATCATAAGAATATGGAAAGAGACATGCAGTGGTGACAGTGGTGTGTTACTTTTAAAAAAAACTGATCATGTTATTTATTTATTTATTATTTAATTTATTAGTTAGTTGTCCTTCCCCTAATGAAATGACTCTGAGTAGCTTTCAGCTTTCAAACATTAAAATCATAACAAATAAATATATCTAAAACAATAAAAATAGAAATCCCAATCAAGATAAAATTATAGTTAAATGATAGGGAACAAGATTCAATGTGGGAAGATGGGATTACCTCTTAATTCATCAATCACCTCCAAAATGATGCTCCCCCTGTTAGGTGTGCTGCTTCTCCCTGTAGAAGGTCAGAAGGGCGAAAGCCAATCACATATCAGGGGGTAAAATGTTCCAAAGGGCAGGAGCTATGGTAGAGAAGGCCCTTCTGGACACAGCCAGCTGGAATACTTTGACCAATGGGCCCCGAAGTATGCCTCCTCTGCTGGCACAGGTTCTAATTGTGGTCATAAATTTACTGTATCATAAGCCTATCCACTTTGCAACACAGGAGTGATCCAATTTCTTTTTCTCCAAAGAAAAAGCTATGTTCGTGGAAAGTCCTAGTCCTTTTTTCTTTTTGGGGAAGAGCTTCTATAGAATTCATGGACATGAATAAGACACACATGGTTGAACCTCTGGGTGATAGGAAGACATGTAAGAAATACCTCTAGTGCATTTCATGTGGCAACTTATGAATACAAAAGAAGTTTTTAAAAAAAGGTTTGAGTGAGTATAGAACAACTTTTCCTTCCTTGTGATCTGCTGAGATCATGAGATTGAAAAAATGTGAATACATGATTGAACACTTTTGAAATTGGCTTGAGTAACATCATGTCAATGTGTATATCAGGTAACAGATTCTAATAAAGGGAAAAGAGAACAAAGAAGTTAGATTATGTTGATTGTGTTACAACCTGGAATTTGAGCTGTTTTGTTATACACAAACAAATGTTCTAAGCCAGGGCTGTCAAATACCCAGCCTGCAGACCAGGGGTGGGATTCTACCAGTTCACATCTATTCATTAGAACTGGTTGTTAAGATTCTAAGCAGTTCGGAGAACTGGTTGTTGGAAGAAATTACTGGCGTAATCCTGTAAGGAAGGCAGGAAGGAAACATTCTGGTGTTGCTTACAGAAACTGCCTCTCCGTTAACCCTTATTACATTCTTGGCAGGACTAGACTTCCTGTCTCTGGTACTTCTTTGAAGTTTTTTCCCCCTACTTTGCTGGTACTTTGCTTGTGTGGAGTGACCATTCAAAGTTACAATGGCACTGAAAAAAGTGACTTATGACCATTTTTCAGACTTATGACTGTTGCAGCATCCCCACAGTCTTGAGAGGCCAGGCGAGAAGAAGCGTGCCTCAATGTGAGTGATATTGAGTTGGCCACACCCAGCCAATAACATGACCACCAAGCCATGACCACCCAGTCACATGACCACCAAGCCGCACCCACCACCTAAGCCATGCCCACAGAGCCGGTTGTTAAAAAATTTGAATCCCACCCCTGCTGCAGACCAGATGTGTCACAAACTGGCCATGCCCAGTTTAGAAAAGGGGAAAAACATCCTGATACGTCATGTGATTCCGCCATGACAATGTGAGTTTGATACCCTTGTTCTAAGCTGTAAATTTAAACCAGGTTTCCCTCCCTCTATGGACTTATTTTGTACTGGGTTTCAAACAAAATTCAAAGAAGCTGCTCCCTGCCATTTTGTAGCTTGTTTTTATAATTCTGTTAGATCATAAATAGGTGCATTCTCTAAATTCCTCTACAGGATTGAGAGATCCCTAGTTAACTCTTTACCTGATTTTAAGAGGGAAAAAACCTAGGGTGATGATTACTGAAGAACCTAAATTAATTTTGTGAGTGTCAGATATTCAGCTAGTATCAGAGAGACAGTGTTTGTGTATATGTAGAAATCTAAGACAAAACATGGAAAAAATATTCACCAACATCTGCTGAATATAAATGCTGTATCAGCAGGATTTAAATTCACTGTCAACTTCTGATAACAGTGTAATATAAAGGGAATTAGGTTTCTTTTAGATTGTTCCTATTAATTAATGGTAATTATTAATAGTTTGAAGACAATAACACTGAGAAAGAAATTGCACAGAGAGCCTCACAAATTGTCTCTTCTCGAAGTGTGCTAATTTATCAAGTTTTACAAAATAGCACATTATCAGTGGGAATATTGGAATGACTCTTCATTTCTGGAGGTAATCATCTGTGAAATCAAGTTGCACTTGAAACAATCAAGCTGAAATACCATAGCAACATAATATAATATTCCTTTTTCATTCCTTCTGCACATTAGCTTCCAATATATTTCTGATTTCTATCAAGCAAGATACAACATTACTTTCAGTAAATAATATATATATTAAAGTATCAAAATCTGATTTTCACCTCTGCAGCAGAAGCATGATGTGTAATTGAAAGAGAATGCTCTGGTTGCAAACACAGAGAATTCAATTTCATTCACTTTTTTAGTATAAATTTAGCAATGAAATTTATGAATTTCAAGAGCAACAAGATCAAGGCAAAAGATATTATTTAAAAAATATATGCATCTTCACTTCGAATTGCAAGATGGGCAGCAAATAAATTTGATAATTATAATTTACATAGAAACAAGTCTTTTCAAATAGTTTTTAGTGTGTGTTTTAAAAATGGAAAACAATTGTCAGTTTTGTGGCAATTCATAAATTTCCTCACGAGCTCGACTTGTTGACTTGCAGAAATGGTTCTTTTATCCAAAAAGTATTGCATCACCAATACTACAGTGTTTCTCCAACAATATGGCCTCCCCCAATAGGAAGTCCCAGCATGTTTTATGGGCACAAAATCAAATTAAGCCCCTCCCCCCAAAATAAGGCCTATATTAAACATGCGAAATGGGGAGGAATGGCGGGGGGGGGGACGGCTTGCCGTTAGGAAGTACTATTGTTGCATACTTGGATATGGTGCTGCCTGCGTTGACTTCAGTGTTGATGGGGCACTTCGTATCGGGAGACCTTCCACCACCGTTGCTTTCCCTTCTCCCCGTGCTGCTGCGGCGTTTAGAGCAACGCCACGGCATTTAGCGCAGCCATGAGTGGCCAGCCAGGGCTCCTGCCTGCAACCGGAGCCCGGCGGAGACACTCGGCTTCAGGCGCTCCTGTCGCCGCCTTCCCTTTGCCTTCGAAGGCAAAGCCAATTCTTTTAAAAACAACTCCCTACTACCGGTACGACAAAATCTCCCCTGCCCAAGAGGGCAGCCCAACCCCACGTGGCAAGGCAAATCTCCTGGGGCCGCAGTGCAGGATCGGACCACCCCAGGAGAAGCGCCCAGCCGCCATCCCTGCCTGGCGCCGGGCAGAGCATGAAGAGCTTCGCCTGGGGCGCCCAGTGCAGCTGACAGGTGGGCCCTCCGGCCTGGCGGTGGAGCTCTCACCAAGGCAGCAAGCGCCTCCCCGCTGGACCCTCTGCTCATCCTGCCAGGGCTGCGCCAGAGCCGTGCGGGCTGGGCAGAGCTGGGAAAGCGAGCCGCAGGTACGCGCCCACCTGCCAAGCGAAGGAGCTGGGTTGACCCGAGCTTGGCTTCCTTACCAAGTCCCTCCAGCCTGAACCCGAAGGGGCCACCAGGAGAGGCTGCCCGAGGCAGTGATAGTGCCCACCCATCCGCGGACAGGGAGGCGAGATGACGGCAGTGCTGCTTCCCTGGCCAGCGGGTCTGGCGGAGAAAGCCCAAAGCCGCCCATCCTTTCTACCCTTTGCTCAGCCCATCCCCACGCATCTCTAAACATGCTGGCAGCTCCAAACACTGCAGCGGCACGGGCAGCGGCGCTCACTTGGCAGGGCTCAGCTTGGAGGAGGACACAGCGCAGGCCGTCGCCTTGCCTCCCTGTCCACGGATGGGTGGGCGCTATCACTGCCTTGGGTGGCCTCTCCCGGTGGCCCCTTTGGGTTCGGGCTGGAGGGACTTGGGAAGGAAGCCAAGCTCGGGTCGGCCCGGCTCCTTCGCTTGGCAGGTGGGTGCGCACCCGCGGCTTGCTTTCCTGGCTCTGCCCAGCCCGCACGGT